TTACTATATGATACCGAATCCAGATCGATCATGTGTTGGTGTTTGTACTAATGAACTTGATGCTGGAGATCTGTAAGGAATTGATGGTGATCCAAATGGAATCGACGGATACTTGTAAGGAATTGATGGTGAAGGTTGGTATTGTTTAGTCGGCGTTGACCAAATAGGTGATTTATATGTATTTTCTGTTAAGTTTGTCAAATCAATAGTACGTAAAGCAGTATAAATATCGTTTTGTGATAATTGAGCAGGAGTGTTCAATGACTCCGGTCCTATTATAAATAAAGAAAAGAAAAGATGAATGGTGAAATAAAATAAATATGTTTCATACTATTAGAAGATTCGATGCCTTGTTTATCTTTGAAATCATCTAAATCTTCTTTGATAATATCTTCTAAATATGCTTTTAACTTATTACGAAAAGTAGCGTCTTGAATTTTTTCTTTCATATCAGCTGGTTTCATATCATGATCAAGCCAAATAAGAAGGTGTAAATGAAGTGAACCTCTGCCTTGACTTTCAACAGTACCGAAATAAGCCTTTATTGGTCCAAGAACACCACCCATTATCATAGTATCTAACATATTGGTAATTAATACGTGGAAAAATTTGGCAGTAGCAACTGGATGAGCTGCTATAATTCCAGCTCTTTTGTAAGTGTCCATAAGTTGTTCTTTTTGAATCTTATCTAGATTGAGTTGAACGCCAGCAAAATATAATGCTACAGGACTATGAATATCGGCTGGATTTAACGTAAGAAATATACTTGGTAGACCTTGATTAAAAATAAGTGCATGAATTCGAGTACGTAAAGCTGTTCTTGAATATGCTGAACCCATTACTCGACCACCAACAGTTTTAATATGTTGTAAAGGTTTGTTTAATGTACTATTGGATTCTGTACTGTGTGTTCTTTTGGAATTGTTTTCAAGAGCCATTTCAATATGTTTGCTATTTATTGATTGGATTTCATTAGCAAATGCTTGAAAATAAGGCTTTGTTGCGATTAATTGAGCATGAAAACAAGCATCACGTCTTTGCAATAAGTTGAAGACTACAAATATAAAACTGTTACTTGTTTCAAAACGACGATCATTGTAAGATAATAGATACCGTATATGTTCTTTGAATTTGATTTCGATTGGACGTGATTGATCTTCAGGTGCTCCTCGTCCATAACAGAATAAAGTTGGATATAAACCTGTTAACAATTTTGGGTTGAAATATTCGTTGACGGGTTTCGACGAATGAGGAATTAAGTAAACATTTTCAGTAACTGTTTTATCATTATTTTCATTATTTTTCATTTTGTGCAAAAAGTAATTAGCAATCTCATCGGATGATACTGATGAGCCATTGACATCAAGAACGCCACTAAAATAGGGAAGCTACATGAATTAATTGATTTATTAAGTACTCTTACCTGTTATTGATAGGGATGACATCTGAAGTAGTACATTCTTGTGGATTCAATAACGGATCAGGAACATATCCAGTCCTTTCAGATTGAGCTTCTTCATCGCCTATGTTTTGTTCTAAAGTTGTCATGATGCAGTCTGGAACATCATCTTCTGGCAATTGAGCAATATTTTCGAGATTTATATTGATATTATGATAAAGTATATTATATTTTTTCAACCAGTGCAATGTTTGAACAATTTTTTTCTTGCGCACTGTTGGAATTTTCTTAAGA